ACTGACAGGTGACACACCCAGCCTGCAGGTGAGCCGTGCACTGCCCACGCTGCCCGCACTGACAGGTGACACACCCAGCCTGCAGGTGAGCCGTGTGCTGCCTGCACTGCCCGCACTGACAGGTGACACACCCAGCCTGCAGGTGAGCCGTGCGCTGCCCGCACTGACAGGTGACACACCCAGGCTGCAGGTGAGCCGTGCGCTGCCCGCACTGCCCACGCTGCCCGCACTGCCCACGCTGCCCGCACTGCCCACGCTGCCCGCACTAGAGGTGACACACCCAGCCTGCAGGTGAGCCGTGCGCTGCCCGCACTGACAGGTGACACACCCAGCCTGCAGGTGAGCCGTGCGCTGCCCGCACTGACAGGTGACACACCCAGCCTGCAGGTGAGCCCTGTGCTGCCTGCACTGCCCGCACTGACAGGTGACACACCCAGCCTGCAGGTGAGCTGTGCACTGCCCGCACTGACAGGTGACACACCCAGCCTTCAGGTGAGCCGTGCGCTGCCCGCGCTGCCCGCCCCAGCCTGGCAGCACAGCCCTCTCTCCCAGGACCAGCAGCCATGGGGTGCCTTGCGGGCGCCCTGCCCGGTGGCATCACCAGCCCACCCTGGGACTCGAGAGCACTTCCTGCCGCACACAAGGCCGTCGGGGAGGACCAAGGGGGGCACGCAGCAGGCGTGCTGGAAGCCTGGGACCACCCACCACCCGTCCAGCAAATCCAGGAGGGGTGGGCGCCCGCCTCTCACGGCGGCATCTCAGACGCCAGTGCCCCCACCCGCATGCGATGTGGCCCCTCAGGAGCCCAGCCCGCCTACCTGGCGATGAGGTAATTGAGGGACAGCCTCAGAATTGCCAGGAACAGGAACATGGGGATGGCCCAGCCGTGCCACACGGCGTTCATGTACACCTGGGGGGCGGGAAAGACAGGGGCAGCGGGGCTCAGTGGGGACAGCAGGCCCGGGCGCGTGGGACTCGCAGCGGGAGGACCGCCTTCCAGCTGTGGGGAGCCACCCAGGAGGGCCGTGGATGGGGAGGATGCCCTGCCGGGGCAGGAGGTGGGAGATCTGGAAAAGCTGCCCTCTAGGCGGGGACCCCCCTACCCCACGTGTGACCCCTGTGCCCCAAACGGCACAGACGAGGAGGCTGACCACGGCGGAGGACGGGGAGTGGAGTCCCCCTGCCCCCTGCTCCACAGGGCTGCGGCGGGTCTAGAAGGGGGCCTATCCTGGAGCTCGTCTCTGGACAAGGCAGTGGGGCCCGGGGGAAGTGAAGGTAGCAAAGGAGGGGGACCTCCCCCACAGGCTTCCTCTCCCAGGGGACAGAATCCCTGGGACAGGCACCAAGGGTCCTCAGGACCCCGCCGGGGCTATCCGCGAGCTCTTGTTACATCTGGCCGCGCAGGAAGGGCCAGCGCTGTGGAGGACTTGGCGGGTGGTGGCACAGCCGTCTGCCTGTCTCCTTCTGCCACTAGAGGGCCCAACGGCTGCAGGACGCACCCTAAGACAGCTAGGTCTACCTCCCTAATGCCCGGGACGCCAGCCCACCTCCAGTTCCTGCCCCGCCTGGTGGCTCAGAGCCCAGGCTAGGCCCCAGGCCAGCAGTCAGGGTCTTGTCAGGAGCGCAGCACTGTGCCAGTGCTTTACGGAAGGACAGAGCTGAACGCAGGCCAGGGTATCTCTAAGCATGCTGTGGACGACGTGCTACACAGCCACAGTGGTGGCCGCATCTGCTCCAGAACCCTGGCAGGCCCCGGGCCCCGGTCCTGTGGCTACTCCACACACCTACTGGACTAACAGGGACACTGAGCCCGGGGAGCTGCTGTCCGAGGCCACCCTGCTCCCTGGGGTCACGGGGGCGGGGGGGGGGATGGTGCGTGTAATCCACTCACTGTGAAGGCGATAGCTGAGGTGTAGACCGAGTACCAGTCGGATAAGGCAGAGAGGTTCTTCACGAAGTTTGTGACAGGCTTGGCACCTCGCTCTGGGGACAGAACAGACTGTAATGATCAGAATGACACTGGGCCAGCCATCAGCACACCTGTGGAGTCAGGCTGGCTTCCCGGCCTAAAGGGAAACCAAAGGAGCTACCCAAGAACCGACTGGCCACAGGTCCCTTCCTCGCCTGATGCTGGTAATTGTCTGCAGTCCCTGGGGGGCTGCTGCCAGCCCCATCGCTGGCCCACTGATGGGAAGCAGAAAGGGGAAGGGGCAGAGGCAGGGGTGGTGTCTCATTTACATTGCCATTAGAAGCTTTGGAGAAGTGCATCTGGCTCCAAGTCTGCCACGGGCTTTCTTCCCCAGGAAGGCTGGGCAGGACGGCTCTAAATCAGGCCCGTGGCTCACGCCTATAAACCCAGCTACTCAGGTGGCTGAGATCTGAGGATTGAGTTCAAAGCCAGCCAGTCTCACAGGAGACCCTGATCTCCAATTAACCAGCAAAAAGCTGGGAGGAGAGGCATGGTTCACATGGTATAGCACTAGCTCTGAAAGGAAAATCCGAGTGGGAGAGACAGGCCATAAATTCAAGCCCCAGTATTTGCAGACACAGACACACAGACACACACAGACAGACATGCACACGCACGCACACACCCCTGGCTCAGGACCCCTGGCCCCTCCCTCCACCCAGCACGGCACTTACTCAGTCGTCTCATGTTCTCAGTTAACCTGCGAGAGGGAGGGGGAGAAAGGCCAGGGTTAACTCAGCCGTCAGCTTGGCATGCCCGCTGTCCCGCACCCCACCAGCACCTGGCAGCAGGGAGGACTGTGGGCGCCTGGAGCCCTCGCGTGCCTGGACCTGACCGAGTGGCTCAGAGCAGTGGTGCCCGGGCGCCCGGCTGCTGTCGTACCCGGAGAAGGTGGGGGTGCGTCCACACAGAACAGAGCCCCCCTCTATTCTGCCACATCTCCCTCAGAGCAGACAGAACAACGCTGGCCGGGGAGCCGATGTCCGAGGCTGGGACACGGCCCGCCAGTCCTGGCCGCGGGACTGGGCCTCGCCCACACTGCCCCCTGGTGGCCTTGGTCACAAAGCACAGCGAGACCCACGTGGGACGTGATGTAGCTCCCTCCGAAGCCGGCCTGAAGGCCCCCACGGGGAGGTCCCCGGAAGATGGGCACGAGGCCTCAGGGGCTCCCAGCATGCCTACCTGCGGGCACTGAGGGGCTCCTCGGTCTCCACCGTGCTCTCCTCGGGCTGGAAGCGGAAGTCCTCCACATACTCCCCAAACTTTTCCCAGAACCACTTGTGCACGCGCGAGGACAGTCCCTGGCCGCGCCGTTCTGCAGGAGGGGGTGGGCGGGAGGGGGTCATTGCACACCACGCAGCCCCCTTTGGTAGGAAGGCGGGCCTTGGAAGCTGGGGTAGGGAGGGGCCCCCCAACAGAGCCTGCTGGGCAGGGCCCAGGCAATGGGGGGCAGGACAGGCAGGGCTCAGCTCCCCAAGGCACAAGATGCAAACCAAGAAGCGCACACCAGGGCGACAAGCCTGCCACAGACGCCTGCCACAGCCACAGAC